GCCTTGGCCTCTGCTATGTCATTTTTTTGCTTCCAGATAGTGGTGGGTCTGCTCGCAAACGTGCTGCCATGTCTGTCACGCTAACATCTGTGAAGAGAGTGCAAAGTTCTCCAAACCTATTGGCTGCAGGTATAATATCACTAACTCACAGAATGTCACATTGAATGGCTTCTAGCTCTTCTGACTGTTTTTGTTCTAAACGTAAAAAGCAAAGGAAAATGAGATCTTGTAGGAAACATTTTACATGTGTAATTAAAAACAGCAGTCACTTACCAAAAATAGGTTGAGTAACTGCAAGTGTTAATAACTATTTAAGTTTTTGCTGTCGCATGGACTTAAGTAACATATTTCATTAGGATAACTCATAGGTTATTTTGGGGGGGTTAACCTAAAAACTGCTGGGGTAGGAGTACAGGGATACAGGGTGAAAAGAGGGATTTGTAGGAACCCAACTCTTCATTAATTAGATTCTTTGTCAAAAGTTGCAAACAGAATGATAGAACATTAGTTTTGAAAGAGACCTTTACTGTCCTTTAATCCAATCAGCAAAGACCCTTCTAATATATATATATAGATTGATAGATAGATATAGATAGATAGATATAGATATAGATATATATCAAAATCTTGACCAATTAAGATTAACATGTACCCACAGGTAGGAAGTCACTGGGGGTATGACTTTTCAGCATCCACTCAAGTGGTCTCTTTATAATAAATCTCTATCATGACTACCTAAGCCACAGTACCTAAGTTAGGCACAGTACCTAAGGCACCGTCTGCATTGGGAGGGGTGCAGCTGTTAGAAGATCAAGCGGAGGCCAGCAAGCCCTGTGCCTCTAGACCCTGAAATAGACCCACACCCTTTGGTGGCTGGTTGGTTGGTTGTCTGGCTGGGTAGCTGCAGTTTGGGGATTACTTGTTTTTTATTTATAAGATTAATGGGTCTTACAGCAGAAGTCAGAAAGGGATGGAGAGTCTTTAAATAATTTTGATTCTCATTATGCATATCACAATCTTTTACACACGTGCATCTAGCAGTTGATTAAATACTCAGGGTGTTCTTCACTTTATGGCCACTTGATTCTAAACTACTGAGCTTTCCTTGAGGAACAAAAAAAATAACTTCCATATGGAGAATCTCACTTCCGTTCACCGCCTCTAATCCACAAATGGATTTCAATGTCCACCTTTAAATGCCAGGCTAGTGAGTTCAATTATATTTTAAGTTAAAAGAAAATGCAAGTTGCATTGCAAGGTTTGTGGTATGACCTCATTTTGGTTAAAAAAAATCTTTATACAAATCTCTATTTGTATGTATTGGCTCATGTGTGTACGAACACAAAAAGGTGTTAGAAAAACTACAGATGTGTTTACACTGGATACCATGGGAAACAGGAATGAAGGCAAGTAAGATAATAAATTTAAGAGTTTAGGGCCATCATGTAATTGGAATGCCAATACCCTGAATAGCGTTGACATTTCAACCAAATAGGATCTCAGCCCAGCCTACTCAGACATGAACCACTGATGCACGTGCTAGGGAATGGCACACTGCGTCAGCAGTGCCAATTTGGAGAGTCAAAACTGGAATGTACGTAATTTCATATAACCCTACTTAATAGAAAAGATTTAACGCTTCAGAATTAAAATACCAAAAAAAAAAAAAAAGATTCCACACTTCAAGAGTACAAAATAATCTTCAGTATAACAACGCAGCTTTGGGCTGTTTTAAGTTTTCTATCACTAGGAGTAAGATTCCTAGAGAATGATGCCCACTGAATTTTGGACATTATTGTTTAAAAGCAGCCCTCTTTTGTGTCTATTAGACACATAAAGTAAGATCCCTTTTTCATTTTTTTTTTTTTTTTTTGAAATGGAGTCTTGCTCTGTCTCCCAGGCTGGAGTGGAGTGGCCCAATCTCGGCTCACTGCAACCTCCGCCTCCCAGGTTCGAGTGGTTCTCCAGCCTCAGCCTCCCGAGGAGCTGGGATTACAGGCACCTGTCACCACGCTTGGCTTATTTTTGTATTTTTTTTAGTAGAGACATGGTTTCACCATATTGGACAGGCTGGTCTTGAACTCCTGACCTCAAGTGATCCAACTGCCTCAGCCTCCCAGAGTGCTGGGATTACAGGCATGAGCCACCACGGCCAGCCCCCTTTTCTAAAGAAGTTTTCATTGTATTTTTAATTAAGAAGTCTGCATTATTATGCACAACTGCATTCTATGTAGCTTTCAAAAGAACTTATATGACAGTGTCTTTATGTGAATCAAAAGAGAATTGATAAATATTAATTGCCTTCAATATTGTTAAAATATAACTGCCTTTATGTAAAACCTCCACAAAAGGTCCTAAGCCACGTTGTCAATATGGCCTATCAGTTAAAAGGGATTTAAATAAAACCTGAGCATAGAGATTATGATGTGACACGTATCAGAAACACAGCTATGTAAAATCTGTCATGTTAGAATCTTAGCAGTAGAAAGGGCCATTGAGGGGATCCAGTTCCAGCCCTGACATGGAACCGGGAAATGTCTTGCACAAAATCTCAGACAGATGCTCACCAGTTTGTGCCTTGACACGGGGAAAAGTGCTGGTGAAGGGCACATAGAGCTCTTCGTTCTTCAAGACCCTGTTAGTATATTCAGGAAAGGGAAAACAGCAGGAAAGGGAAAAACTTACACCATTTAGTCATTCGTGGATTTTCAGTGAAGCCATGACTATCTATTAAAGAACACTAGAAATTAAAGACTCAGACTCCTAGAGTCCTAGCTTTGTTTTTTCACAAGTGAATGTGCATCACCAGTGTGGCAGCTTCGGGGGAAAATTGTTTTCCCTGCATATCTGCCAAGCCATTTACCTGACCGACTTTTTTTTTTTTTTTTTAGTAACCTATATTCTCTTTACTTGACATGGATCCATGATACTTTCTATTTCCTGCTGCAAAGAACAGGTGTCCTCCCTTTCCCAGGCTTTCCTGCAGGAATAAAATGAAAGCAGGGCTATGCTTGACAGTGTCCACATAGAAGACTGTAATAAAAGAGCAAGTCAGGATGGCGTGTTTGAAGTATCTATAATTGGATTTATTTTAGAGAAAGAGGAATGATGTGTACTTCAGTCTCTTTAAAAGACCACCCACTTCAAAGCAGACTTTAATCATCAACATAAGTTTTATTAAAATATTGGTTCATCCTCAATAAGAACATATAGACACAGAGAGGGGAACATCAAACACCGGGGCCTGTCGGGGGGTGGGGTTAGGGGAGGGGATGGCAGGTGGGGGGATTGGGGAGGGATAACATCAGGAGTATGCCTGATGTAGATGACAGGGGGATGGATGCAGCAAACCACCATGGCACGTGTATACCTACATAACAAACCTGCATCATCTGCCCATGTTCCCCAGAACTTAAAGTATAACAAAAAATAAATAAATACAATTTAAAAATATGTTAAAAATACTGGTTCCTCCTGAAGTTTTAGCCCAGAGCCATTTTCTCCTTTCTCTTAATTCTGCACACCCGTGTCTACGGTGCGATGCCAGGCCTTTCAGTCGAGCCCACCACTGTTACTGTCCAGCGTTTCCAGTGGCACAGGGACAGAGTCATTTGGAAATCCCTGGGCCCAGGATCCCAGGAAGAGGCCCACAGTTGAGCCTAGAGTGACTGTCCTCTGAGTTTCCCACTTACTGTTTCCTGGGGCTCCACCGTCTTCAACAGCCACCAGTGTGAAGAAATAGAGCCTGCCCCTACAGACTATCAGTTAGAGGGAGGTTATCTTGAGCGTCCTTCAGACCAGCGCGGTTCGCCCTCTCCTTTCTCACCGCACCTGCACCCCTGGCGTCTCCAAGCCTCTGGCTCCCATTACCTCGTCCCCAGCACACACCACACAGCCTTCCTGTTTATCTCAGTTTTACCAAACCAAGCGTAAAATAAACTCCCTGTCCTCAAGCAAATAATCCGAATAGAATCAGTGTTACTAATGCTGCTTCTTTTGTCATAAAGTAGCCATGGGCTATTTTATTGCCTTTTCCCAAATCCCAAAAGTTATTTTTCATTGTCCTTTCCCAAATCCCAAAATGTGTTCACGGTTCACAGTGGATGGCACCCTTGTGGCTATTAAATCTCACTCCTGAGCGTCCCAAAGCAGAATTCTAATAACCGCTCTATATTGCCAAACTGTTCTTCTTTATCTTCATCATGTAACTGATTAAGAATTTCAATCATTTCTGCTTCCACCACATCCTAGAAGCAGGGCCAGGCCTGGTAGCACACACCTGTAGTCCCAGCTCACCAAAAGACTGAGGCTGTAGGATCTCTTGAGCCCACTATTTCAAGGCCAGACCCTTGAAATAGTAGCAAGACCCCATCTCTAAAACACAAAATAAAAATTTTAAATTGTACAAATTTTAGACGTAGGGTCCAATAAACATTTCATGCATAATTCTTTGAAGTAATTTTTCTCTATGGTACCCATTTTATTGCTCCATTTTTAAATTAATTGGAGATAAAATCCATACAAAGTTATCAATGATCAGAAAGTAAAAACTAAATTGCAGGATACAGTTCTCTAGCACGGGAGTTAAATATGCCTATTAACAGCAGGGCATTGGAAGCTAAGGATCTGGGGGGTTTGAATTAGCTCTGGGAGAAGCACTCACTGTTTATAAACAATGATCCTTTAATTTGACATTTAGAAATTCATACATCCATCTTTGGCCATAGTCAGATGAAAATTGCATGTTGCAACATTATTGAGGGGAAAAATTACTGATTGCTATATAGATATTTATATATTATAGATATTTAATGAGTGTCATTCTAATTAAAGTAAAAATAAATGTACAAACCTCCCTTTAGCATGTTTGACATACCCAGATTTTAAAACTGAAATAATGTTTGCAAAAATAATGCATATAGGTCTTTGCCATGTTATTTTGACTGGGTTATTCATTTATTTCACTCTAGTCTTAATTTCAACATTTCTTTTTTTTTCAGGGCGTGATTCTCAGTCACCAGACTCAGGTACAGAAAAGATATTCTGAATAACCATTCTATTATTTTGTGACTTTTAAAAAATATATTGCTAGCCACATTTCTGGCTTCATGTAAAACTTAAATTTCATATACTATTATGCGTATTAAATTAAACCTCTAGTAAGAACATTACAATTTTGGAAATGAAAATAAATTTTATAAAAAATGTTTAAGTGAACGTAGATATTTTTGTATCCAATTGTTTTCCCTTAATGAAAGCTTGGAGATCTTACCATGGCAATCAAGAGACACTGAACGGAGATGCTACATATTCCTCTCTTGCAGCAAAAGGTTTTCGAAGCGTTCGACCAAACCTACAAGATAAAAGATCACCAACTCAGGTAACCCTGCACTCTTCACTATGTGATTTTAAGGCCTGGTTATTAGACCACTGCTTAAAGCCCCTTTCATAGTGTGCATACTTCAATACATGTTTTATTTTTAATATGTTTTTGCTTTTGTGTTTGGTTTGCTTGCCAGGCTTGTATTTGCAACATGGAGAACAAATTTTAATAAATAAGGATTTTGTTTTATTTCTGATTATGCTCATATAAGTGTATCAGTTTCTAACATAATCTTTAGGATATATTCTAATTCTTTAAAAGCTAACAGCTGATGCTTTGGATTTAAGCTGATGAGGTCAGCGATACATTATGTACTCAATAACTATGAGTATGCAACTGTTATATTAACTAAAGAGACTCTGTGTTGGAGATATTAGTAAAATTGTGCCACAGGCATGAAAATTGTTATAAAACAATGCTATTAAATAAACCATATATATATTTCAAAGTCTAGTTAAAAAATATGCCAAGAGAACATATGTTCACTTTTAACATAATTTCCCAGAATACAGGTGGAGCAAATGTTGTAATGTGTTCTCTGGAAACACTTTTTTCCCCTAAGGGCAAACATTGATAATAAAGGCAAATGCGTTCTAAATGGAATGAAAATGATCACTCAATCTAGCTAGCAAAATGGATAGCCTAATCAGAAGGTGTGGCATTGCTTTACTTCTGTAAGGACAACGTCGACGCTGGTTTCTTTCATGACTAACTTTGACTTTCTTTCTGTTTTTCTTTCAACTTTCTTTCTTTTTCTGGATCCCTTTGTCAATCCAGGCACCCCCTCCACCAGACAGAAAAGAGAGCTTTCATAGCTCTTTGATAACCAGTCACCCAGAAGGTGTCTTTTGAGACCAGTTAGTAACTAACACACAAACTCCCTCCTGTACAGAGGACTTTGCTAACCAAAAACCTCTTCAGGGAACTATGTATTCCAATGAAGACTCCAGACAGACAATTGTATATTCTGAAGAATCTAACACAACCGTGTCATATACACAAAAAATCACTAATCCGTTACCAGCAGCTTCCAGCACGGATCCTACACCATTCACTAACATCAACACCCCAGTTCTACAAGAGGGCTACAGGCAAGATTCTCAAACTCGGAGAATTTCTACCTTGAAACTAACCCATAACCAGGATCTAGGAAGCAGCAGCCCCATTAATACTCCACAGTTTTCCAAACCTGTCGAAGTTCCATCATTTCTCCAAAGGTCCTGCTCACTGCTCCCTCATCCAGCGCCTGAGACACACACGGCCTGTCTTTCCATCCAGATAGCTCCCCTTTCAGGCCAGGATCCTCAAAGCCACCAACGGCTACCTGAGCTTCCTCCAGAGACTGCAAAGATACCTCTTCAGCGAGACAGACAAAAATCTGCCGTTGCAGTGGCCTCGCAGTCCTCAGACTGCAGGGTGGTACACGACGCTTCTCAGTCTCTTATTAATACACGCGTACTGTAGAGACACTAACTTTTTTGGTTTGGGCTTCTTATACGACCTGATGTTTTGTTAGTTTCCAAGCAGGAAGGGAAAGGAGAAAGAAACCATTTTCCGATTTAAAACCCTACCAAATTCATCAGCAAATTTCTAGGTATCTTTCAATTTAAGTATACAGATCTTTCATTCAAAAATCATGTTCTAAAAGTTTTTTTTTCCTTCTAGGTATTTATGAGAAATTATTGATGGGTCAGTTATCATTTAAGACACTGCAGACTACTTCAGGACATAAAGCATGTTTAGGTTTCAAAGAAATATTTTTCACATTAGAACTTTTTGTACTTAGTTCTACTTTATTTACATGTGTGAAATCTCTTCAAATAATTGTCAACTGTAGTTTGCTTTGGTGGGGAATAGTTAATTTTAAGCAGTATCTATCTCTTTGCAACTCAATATTTATTTTCACTAAAACTTGATCAGTTTATCATTTCCGAAAGTATATTAGTCAACTTTTATTATCCAGACTTGCAGGAAGTAAATCTTTCTTTCCATGTATGTAGAATCCTGTCATAGCATCCTTCTGCTCACATGTATTAGTCTGTTAGCAGCAGAAACGTGTTTCTCTTTTTGACTTCTCCATAAAATAACGTAGTACTAAGAGCATACACTTGAAGGGTAAACTGTAGCTTTTAAGCCAGGCATCATTGACTGTGTGATGAGATATTCATCTAAACTTCTCTGAGTCTGAACAAAGAAATGAGAATAATGCAAAAAATCAGCTGGGCATGGTGGCGCCTGCCTGTAATCCCAGCTACTCAGGAGGCTGAGGCAGGAGAATTGCCTGAACCCAGGAGGTGGAGGTTGCGGTGAGCCGAGATCGCGCCATTGCACTCCAGCCTGCGGAACAAGAGCGAAACTCCGTCTCAAAAAAAAAAAAAAAAAAAAAGAAATGAGAATAATGATCGATCCTTAATTCATAGGTTACGGTAAGACTGGGAAATTACCATGGACTAGATAGAGCGAGCCCTCAATAAATGATAGCTGTTAATAAAATATGTCATAGCAGCAGCAACAGAGTACTGTTAGTATTAAAAACACTGGCACCTAAGTAAATAATTTGTATATTACTCCTTTTTGTATCTGAGTTATTAAAGATCATCCAAAACATATATATATATTTTTTGGGGGGGTTCAGAGTCTCACCCTTGTTGCCCAGGCTGGAGTGCAGTGGCGCTATCTCGGATCACTGCAACCTCCACTTCCCAGGTTCAAGCGATTCTCCTGCCTCAGCCCCCCAAGTAGCTGGGATTACAGGCACGCACCACGACACCCAGCTAATTTTTTGTATTTTTAGTAGGGACAGGGTTTCACTATATTAGTCAGGCTGGTCTCAAATGAGGAGATACATTTTTAACTGTGAAAATCTCCAAAAGATAACTAATTGACACCAAGATCCCCCCACCCGCTCATAAAGTAAATGATTAAAAAGACGAACTAGTTTTATCATACCTCTACTAAAATATCTTCTCCATCAGCTAATCAAGATGTACAAAATTCACTCGGTAGAGCAATTTCTTTTAATTAAGGTAATATGTTCTGAAAGCCCCTATGAAATCAGATGATAATCATAACATTAATAGCAGCTAACAAATATGAAGGGTTTACTCTATGTTCCAGCTTGTTTATGTTTATTAATAATTTCCACAATCTCATGGAGTAGGTATTACTACTGTCCTTATTTTATGGATAAGAAAACTGAGGCACACAAGTTGCACCCCCAGGGTCATGCAGCTGGCAAAAGGTAGAACCAGGATACATACCCTAGCAAGCTGGCTGCAGGGCTGGCACCCAGAACGACTGCTAGCTGTCATTGTGAAAGAGTAACTCACCAGTCACAAGGGGATATGGGGCCGTGACACTGGGAGCTAAGGCAGATGTGTCTTGATGGGGTTCAGGAGTCCAGGAAGGTCTGAGGGAGCAGAAGCCCTCTGCGACTATACAGACAGACCTGTCCCAGTGTCAGTGGGCAGACTCATGGGCATCCCAGGATGGGCACGCCAGGAAGCAGGGGTAGGAGAAGTCACAGGAACACGTGTCAGTCACTGGACTCAGCCAACAGTTTGCTGCTTCAGAATGGTTTTGTGATGTCTGAGAACAAGTTGATAAGCTTCGTTTTGCATGGTTTTATCCAGGTTAAGCAGGGCCAGTTGGTTTCATTATATAATCCCCAGGGTATCCGCACCATCCAAAAGTTAAGATTTGAGATTCTGTCACTGCTGTTCATTCAACAAATATTTATTGGGTGCCTGACCTATGTCAAGTCTGTTCTAGTGACAAAGCTGGATTTGAAACCATTCATGCTTAAAATTTGTCTGTGTGTGTCAGGAGGGGCAAACATTAATAAGAACTTGAATAAATTACATAGATTAGATTACTCTATGGAAATTGAATCATGCCATGCAAAGTTGAGATGTGGAGACCAGATGTCATGTCAAGAATGGTAGCTCAGTCAATAGAACTCACTGAGAAGACAGAAGAGCTTTGAAGGGGAAGAATATTCCAGGCAGAGGAAACATCTCATGCTGGGGCTGTGGGAGGACCAGAAGGAAGCCTGAGGGAGGGAGAGGAAGTAAGTGAGGCGAGAGTGATAGGAAGTGAAGTCAGAGGTAACAAAGACCAGATTCAAGGATTTTGACGTTTACTCTCAATAAAAATGGAGGCCACTGGAAGATGTTGAGACTACCACCATCATTATTTGCCTTATATTTTAACAAAATCATTCTGGCAGCTCAGTGAAAAGTGTACCATAGTGGGGCAAGGAGGACATCAGGCAAACCAGTTAGGTAACTACTGCAGTCATTTGGGTGAGAAATGATGGGGGCTCCAAGCAGGGGCCAGCAGAGGAGGTGGTGAGAAATCAGATTGTGAGAATGTATTTTGGAAAGTTGAGCTAACAGGACTTCCTGGCAGATTGCATGTGGGATGTGAGGAAGAGAAAAGTCAAGGTTGACTCCAGCTGGAGGACGGCACTGCCATCAGCTCAGACTGGACAGCTGTGGGTGGAGCAGGTTGGTGGAAACTTCAGAGGTTCCGTTTGGGATACAGGAAGTTTGAGGACATGAAGTGGTCAAGTAGACACTCGGATGTGAGAGCCCGTGCTTCAGGGGAAAGGTCCTGATTGGAGGTACGAGCCACTGGCTAATCGATGGATTTTGTGGCCCTGAGATGGCGTGAGATCACCAGGGAGGGAGGACAGAGAGGAGGGGAGGGCCAAGAGTTGAGCCTGAGTGAATCTCAACATGAAGAGGAAGAAGCAGCAGAAGAGGCTGAAAGCAGTGTCCTCTAAGGGAGGAGGAAGTTCAGGAAAATGTGGCATCCTAAGAGCCACGCGAGGAAGTGTGTGGAAAGGAAGGGACGGTTAACTGCGCAAATGCTGTTGATAAGACAAGTATGAAATGAAAGCTGAAAACTTCCCATTGATTCCGTCGTGGGGAAGGCGGCCTTCGGGGAGTGGCCATGAGAGGGACTGGGAAGAGCGTGGTTGGGCAGTCAGCTCTTTCAAGATCTTATTAACATAAAACCATTCTCTAGTTACTCGCCCTCCCCAAAAAGCAGTTTTCTCATCTATGAAACGAGGACAACAATAGCAACCCTTCATAGCTCTGCTGGGAGGTTTGAGTGAGATAAGCATACAAGGATCTGGGCATGGTGCCTGCTTCCTCGTAATTCCTCAACGTGTAATAGTTTTCCAAATTACCCATGTGATTGGAAAAAAGAAATATATTATTTTCAACAATACTGGTTGTTGAAAATATATATATATTTATATATCAAAAATATATATTTGTTGAAAAAATATAAATGTATATATATTACTAGTAGATAAAAGTTTATTTCAACAGACTTTCAGTTTCTTCCAAGATGGTGTGTCCTCTTCTATCAGGCTTTGTAAGAAAGGTAGCATGAAGCCGTTGCAGTTTTTATTCTCTGTCTAAAATTTTGGTAAGAACACTTAACACGAGATCTGCCTTCTCCACAAATTTGTGAGTGTGCAGTGCAGTGTTGTGAACTATCGGCACCGTGCTGTGCAGCTGATCTCTAGAATTTATTCATCTTCTTTCTCTTTCTCTCTCTCCCTCCCTCCCTTCCTTCCTCCATTTCCTCCTTCCTTCCTTTCTTTTTCTTTCTTCCCTTCTTTCTTTTCTTTCTCTCTATTTCTTAAAAAAACAACAAAAAAAGAATGTATTCATCTTGCTTTATGCCAACTAAAACTTTATGCCCACTGAATAGCAACTCACCTCCGCCTTCCCCCAGCCCCGGCAACCACCACTGTCTTCTCTGCTCAGACATTTGTCCTTCTGAGACTGACTTATTTCACTTGGTATAAGATCCTCTAGGTTGCTCCAGGTTACAGCACGTGGCAGGATTTCCATCTTTTTTCAGGCTGAGTAGTACTCCATTGTGTGTATACAGTACATTTTCTTTGTCTATCCATCAGTGGACGTTTGGCTTGTTTCTACATCTTGACTAGTGTGACATGCTTCATTTTGAAGTCTCATTTTCCATGTAATGATCTTTCACAACGGTGACCTTTCCATTTTAAACACTTGCACTCCACATTCTGGTAAGTCTTAGCAAACGCCAAGTGCTGTAAGCCATACGCTGTGAATCAGCCAAATATGTGCTCCATTATAAAGAATTAGGCTCCCAGGAATTAGCAGGCCCAAGCAGTAAAAGTGCAGCAAGATGAGAAAAGTACATTTCAGTGTTCCAGAAGTTTCACTTACATAGTTTTGTTGTTATTAAATTCTGGCCATTCGCTTAACAAGAAAACTACAGGTCACTGTTAGAAATTCTCTTCATAGTTGACAGTTTTTCACAGTGTTTTCTAAGTGGCATGTGCTTTAATTTACCTCCTAGAAACAGACCAGAAAGGAGGCATGTTATCCTTCAGTCACTGTGTGACCAGATATCCTGTT